GTTTATATTCTTTTGTAACTTTGTTTCCTCGATATCATTCAAATTTCTGGCAAGAATCAGGTAGTATACCTGAGTGGGGTAATTGAGAGGAGCTTAAAGAGGCCGTTTACTGTGGGGTGAGTAGGGTGATGGGAAAATGATGGGGATGATGCTTTACCCAAGCACCTAACAGGGAATGGTCATTCCCACTCCTAAGTCTGAGGAAGCCAGTTAAGGGAGGGGTGTCCAGATCCCAGGGGGCTACCAGAATTCTGGAAGAGCAGAGTGGCAACTTGTCTATAAGAATGTAGTCACTGTTGGCTTGTAGCCAAGCAAAAAGGCAGCTAAAGAATCCATACTCTCTGCTTCCTAGTGTCTTCTCCTTTCCAAATTCCTATCCATGCCTCCCAATGCAACAGAAATTTTCTCTGTGCAGCTAAAGTATAAAGGCCTTTCAATTGCTAATGTTAATGACCTGAGACATAAATTAAAAAATAATTTTTTTCTGTAGTACATTTTCTGTCCTCTCCTGGTGAGCTTAGACCTTTCTCAAGTTGCTGCCAATCCAAAGTGTGTATGGTTGGAGATAATAGAGTCTAATATAGAATGAAGAGGAAATTGTATAATGCAGTTCCCACCATCACCACAGATCTCCCCTATGAAGGCAATTTTACAGCCCTTCTTACTGGGACAATGGGTTAGGAAGTAGCACTGAAAGCTCGCTGCAGGAGGTTCAGTGCGAGTTCGATCCCCAGCCCTGGAGGATCCACATGGCACTGCAGAACCTCTCTCCTGTCTTACCTGCTGCTCCCCTCAGCAGTTTACTTCGTTGATCTGCCTGTTCTGCTCCCCACTTTGTCTCTAGTGAGCCCTCTCACCAACCCTGCACCTCTGGCCTGTACCCCAGTTCTGTATGAATGAATAAATAAATAAATAAATAAATAAATAAATAAATAAATAAATAAAGGCAATTTACAGCTAGAGGAGATAATCAAGTGGCAATCATGCTAGGAAATCATCTTGAAATCTACAGAATGATAATATTTTTTGGAAAACGTTCTTTGAACATGGATTGTTTACTAAGTAAATTCCAAAATGCCTAAGTAAGATGTCTCAAATATACCTCATTGCCCCAAAACACAACTTAGCCAAGATTCAGCATAACAAATATTCACTGGTATGTTTTGTTCAGCATTACAGTAGCAGGCTAGAAGTCCTGGTTCTTGCTCTCAAAAAGCTTATGCTACCAAAAACCATTTAGTCTGCCCTCCAACATGCCTCTTGGAAAATCAGCAAAATTAAAAATAAAGAAGGAAGCAAATTGATCATATTTTTTCATCTCCAGTCCCTAAATTTCTTGGGGCAACAGATTTCTTTGGAATCCTCAGCAGAGTGCCAGACAAGGTGTGGGCATAATTGAGGAAGTAATACTCAAATAATTTATCCTAATTCTACAGGATTTAGAGGATAGTGTCAGCTTTATTATATTTGGCGCGGGGGTGAGGGGGTGATATCTCTTTATCAGCCTCTGGAAGTGATAACTAAGGAACAGAATTATGCTGTGATAACTAATGAGTGATAACTAAGGAACAGAATTATGCTGTGGACATTTATTTTCCTATAATCCATATCAAGTTTGCTACTTATAATTTGAAGAACAAAGTGACATTATTGCAGCTTTATAAATAATATTCATTATGCTGCAGAAATATCACTGTAATTGTCATTTACCAAAACAATCAGCATTTTGAGCTTTTAAGAAATTCCTAAGATAGAGAAGGAATTTGGTTTTATATCTTGTGTATTACATTCTCTTAATTAGGAAAGCCTTTATATAATTGAGTAATTGATAGGAACCATCAAATCAATGTAAATAAATCAAATAAATATCATCAGCCTTTGATTCATATTCTCCCCCTATGAGTATGGAAATAGCATCATTTGCTTACCTGGTCCTTCTTCTCTAAGGCAACTGTTTTATCTTTCTGTGTCCTCAAACCTTGTACATGGCCTTCACTTTCCCTTAACTTTGACCTCACTTTCTATTAGAAGCATTCAGACAAAAATGCCTGTTTTAAATTGGCAAGGTAACTACATCAATACCTTATTTCTTTCCTTTTCCAATGGAAAACTGTCCTCCCCATCAATGCGGCCTTCCCTATGTTCTATAGGCACTAAACTAATCTCCTCACCTCTGCAGGACTTCATGCTGCAGTTACCCCACATATCTGTGGCATTTTGGCTTCTTCTTCTTATCTTCATAATCATTCCCATTAGCATAAAAAACTCACTTTAGTATTACTCTTCATCTTCTGTACAGACTCTTCCTTGATTGCTCAGATATCAGCAAAAAATTCCTGGAAAAACTTTCATTTACCCTGTCCACTTCTTTAAATCCCACTTTTCTCCACTGTGCAGTGTGACTTCCATCCCCACCATGCTCCTGCCTGGGTCACTGGCTGCCTTCTCGTCTGAGTCAAGGAACGTGTTTACATAGTCGCTCATTTCTGCCTTCTTAAAATACTGTCTTCTCTGGCCCTCCCTGGTGGCACAATGGGTTAAAGCAAAGTACCAAGAAGCTAAAGCCACTTCAGCATGAGTTCCATCCCCGCCCCAGAGGTGACCCACATGGCCCGGCAGACTTCTCCTGACCCACCCACTGCTTCCCTCAGCAGTGTACTTCGTCAATCTGCCTGTTCTGCTCCCCACTCTGTCTCTGGTGAATCCTCTCACTGCCCCTGCACCTCTGGCCTATACCTCAGCTCTGTGTGTATAAAATAAATAAATCTTTTTTAAAAAAGATTGTCTTCTCTTTGTACTTGTAATTTTGCACTGTCATGGTGCCTCACCCCCTTTCCTTTTCGATCTCCCACAGAATATACTCAGTGTTGCTGTGTTCTAGACTTTTGAATCATCCATTAGTTTGCATTTTCCCTAAACAATTTATGTCATTGCTAAGTAATCCTTCAGCCCCTATTTCCAAAATTGTATCTCTGGCTTTCCCTGAGTTCCAGGGTCATATATCTCAATCCTGCTTGCCTGTTCTCCTCTTGGTTCAAAATAACTATCTCAAAATAAACATGTCCAGGCCCTCCCTAGTGGCACAGTGGGTTAAAGTGCAGCACTAGGAAGCTAGCTGCAGCCACTTCAGAAGTTTGATCCCCAGCCAGGGAGGTGATGCACATGGCGCAGCAGACCTCTCCTGTATTGCCCGCTGCTCCCCTCAGCAGTGTATTTCAGTACGCCTGCCTGTTCTGCTCCCCACTCTGTCTCTGGCAGATTCTCATCACCCCTGCACCTCTGACCTGTACCCCAGTTCTGTATGCATAAATAAATAAAATCTTTAAAAAAGCAAGCCCAACACAGGATCACAGTTCACCCAGCTGTAGAAGTCATCTTTAATACCATCACTCATTCAACACAGCATCGAATACTGTTGGGTCTGCCTCCAAAATGTGTCTGCATGTCTCCATCCCCCCCTACCCACATCTTCCACCTTCTCTGACCTGCCATAGTCTAACACTGTAACTTGATTTGCCCTCTTCTCAGATCCGAATAATTAAAAAAAAAAAAAAAAACTAAACTAAAACTAAAGTGCATAATTGTATATCACTCCTCTACTTAGATCCCTTCAGTAATTTCTCCTATTTTAAAATAGAAGCCAAATTTCTTTCATCCTCACCTATGAGCCCTGCATCATCTGGCCTCCTGCCCCTACCCTTTAGTCCCTCTCCCCTGTCCCTCTAAACTACTCAGTCCTTTCTCACCTGCCAGTATGTCAAGCTCTCTCCCATCTTCAGATTTTTGTAGGAACTTTTCCTTCTGCCTGGGAAACTACTTCCTAACTGGGGCCTTCTCCACCCTTCAAGTCCCAGCTCAAAAGTTGCTTTCTTAACACCTCACCTGACCTAAGGTAGCCCCACACCCATCTCCAGGAACCTTGTGAGATGGGAAGCAATCCCCACTTATTATCATCTCTCTCTCCCCCTAGGCTCTAAGTTCCTGGAGAGCAGCCTCCTCCTTTCACTCGCTCTCCTTGGCAGGTGGAATATTTCTTGCTAAATAAATATTTTATTTAAAAAAATGAAAGGGTAGAATCCACAGGAAGGTTTGAAACGAATCAAAGTGTTTTCATCTATCATGATTTCATTTCTTGACAGATATTTGACTACCCTATATCTATAATTTCAGTTTGAGTCATTAATTCTCTTAAGTGGAAAATTTTTATCGTATCAATTCATCATTTGAAAAATGGGCAGGAAGTATGCATAGTATGAGGACTTGCTCATTAATACTGTTAAGTTGAGTTTTAAGCTTTAAATAAAAAATAGCCAGCAGCAGTCCTTTCTTCGAATTGGGGGCGGGGGTGGGGCCTAAACTCTCCCCTGGCTCAGTGTTGGATCAGTGACCCAAGGAGATCATGGACCCTGAAATGTATGAAATTTCCTCAGAATAACACAGTCTCCATAGGATCATGTACTTTTTAAAGGATCCTAGCTACATCTTTGCTCTCAACTCCCTTTATATCCCTTGAACAACTTGGAGAGTTGGAGATCCAAAGAGCTGGAGCTGAAGCTTCTAACGCTCAGCACTGTAGGATGCTTGGAGCTGCCCGGGAGGCTCCAGGAACTGGCCAGACTGCTGCGTTGTGAAGGCTGGCCACCAGGCGGAACCTCTGCAGCACGTCACTGTTGCCCATATTCTGTTGGTCCCAAGTCAGTCATGTTAGCAGCCAGTCATGTTAGGAGATAGAGCTTCCCAGGCACAAGGAAGAGTTTCGACAAAAGTCTGAAGATGGGAGAGTACTTGACATACTGGAAGGTCAGGAAAGAATATGTAAAATGGTGGTAATAACAATATCCATCTTCTAGGATTAAATGAGATGAACTGGCAGCTGGGAAGTACTCAATGAATGTTAGCCATTGTCATTCTTGCCTAAAGGATACTATGCCCACCTCAATGAACCAAATACTCTCTCAGAGTTCAGTGTTTCTGATTTTTATGTAACTTCTCCTTCCTAGAACTCCATGAAGGTGATGTTTAAATGCCTCTGGAAAAACTGTGGGAAGGTGCTGAGCACCGCAGCCGGTATCCAGAAACACATCCGGACCATTCACCTTGGGTAAGGCAGCCTTCCCTTCCGAGCTTGATGTCGTCTTGTCAGCCAACTCTACCTACACACCAGCATGGTGCCTGGACCCTTCTGAAGCAGGAGCAGAGGTTGGACTTACGTGGCCTTTCCAATCACTCGGGAGACAGGCACTGCAGATAATAGAACCCAACATAGCACAGTAACACATGGGATGGAAGGTTATAAAGCCCTTCCTCATTTACTCACTAGGTGGAGTTAGGCAAGTTACTGATTCGAGCCTCAGTTCCCGCTGGAAATGAGGCCAATAATATCCCTGCAGGTCAGGTGTAAGGTTCAAAAATAAAACATGTGAAAATGATTTGGAAAATATAAAACATGTATAGTTGGCAATACGATTAAATGTGTGTTTTGCCTTTGGAGAGTCTTGATGGCTCAAAGGCAAGGAAGAGGACCTGGGAAACACTGGTGATCAGTGCTCTGCTGCCATTCTTAACATGCCGCTGACCGGGCTGTATCATTTCGTGTTGTTTATCCAAGCCCTTTATTTGTACAGCCTACACTTTAGCTTGTTATAAAAATCCTTCCAAGGGGCCCTCCCTGGTAGCGCATCAGGTTAGGACTCAGCATTGCAAGTTAGCCGCAGCCACTTCAGTGCAAGTTCGATCCAGCCCCGAGGTGACCCACATGACGCAGCAGACCTCTCCTATCCCTCCCGCTGCTCCCCTCAGCAGTGTACTTCATTAAGCTGCCTGATCTGCTCCCCACTTTGTCTCTGGTGAAGCCTTTCACTGCCCCTGCACCTCTGGCTTGTTCCCCAGTTCTGTATGCACAAATAAATAAATCTTTAAAAAAAAAAAACTTCCAAGAAAAGATAAAATGAAGCCTTGGGCACCACAGTGATTAGGGATCATGGCAGGGGATGATGGTCATCTTCATAGTCTTCTTTAATGTCTGGGTCTTTCTTGTTCAGACATCTGGTACTTAAAAGAGACCTTGAAAAGCTCTAAGTCATAACCCGTTGTGCATAAGCGGTCTAAATGCATGATTGCAACCTCAAATGGCTTGATATGGTGTAATTCTTCCAACAAGATGAGTGTTGAGAAATATATCTATGGCCAATTTGCCTCTCAAGGGATAAATTTAGGATAGGCATCATTCATTAAAAACATGGCTAAAAAAGGGGTTCAAAGGTGATTTTGATTTTGTTGATTGGTGCATACTCACTGTTTTAGTAACTGTGGCATGGGGGAAACAGGGAGCGATCTAGCCCCCCTAATTCATAAGGCTGATGTTTGGGGGTGCAGCCAGACCCCTCTGAGCACCACTTGTAGGTCAGAGAGCACTGTAGGTTTGGCCCAGCAGAACTGGGTTTCTGCTCCCCATGCAGTGGGTCTGTCTTCATCTTCCAAGAAATAACCCACTGCAGTAGTTTGGGGCAGAACACCCCCATTCCTGCCCCTAAAATCTTCAAGGAAGGAAATGCCGCAGGGTCTCCCCTCAGTCATTGTCAGAACAACTCACAACGTAAATGGCTCAGTTATTTAAAGGCTTAGAAAGACATCACAAAGCTATAATCAGGAACTAAGGTATTTGTTTGAAAGTCCATCTGCCCAGAAAATTGAATCCTGCTCAGCACAACACAGAAGCGCACACCATATATACGTATTTATAGACTGTAAGTGGATCACACAGTTTGCATTCCCAAGGTGCTTCCATGGTGGATGACATTCATAGAGCTTTCCAGGATTTCCTTTTTACTGGGGCTCTTAAAATTGCCTTGATGAGTGACTGCCAGCCGAGGCATGGGAACTGGGTTAGCAGGACTCCAGGCCTGTCTGTCTGTGAAGCCCAGGGCATGAGCTCTCTCATGCCTCTGCCTTAATCTAGGAGCTCAGTTACATGGTAGTAAAATGACAGAACATTTTTAATGAGTGTCAGCTGTGTGTGAGGGCAGGGAGGGAAGCATATCAAAGCCTAAAGGAAATATATCTTGCATCTGATGTAACCCCATGCACACCATGCCAGTATAAAAGTACCCTGATTTCTCTTAAACCTCACTCCACTCTTGCACTCCGGGGTTGATTCTGATTTATCCAGTGTAGGATCCACAATTTCCCCCAGGCCTGTGGGTCTATTGGTAGCACCCAGTGGCCAGTCGCAAGTCAGCCTGCCCTTTACTGGAAAGGAAGTGGGGACAGGAATAGAACAGACACACATTCTTCGTCCCACTCTCTGGGGTCTTGAATGGTATGCCTGACAGAAAGCCAGGGCCGACAGGACCTGATACGGCATCCAGACATGTTCCCGGGAGCCTCAGCCTGAGAGCTGATGGGAAGGGAGGTGAGGCTGGAAAGAGCCACTGATTTGGCGAATCAGAAAGACCAAAGGGGGCGGGAGTTGCATTTTAAGTTCTGTAGGGATTTTAAGTGGGAGAAATTTTTATTCTGATTCAGTGACCTGTAACTGCAGATAATACTTGGAAGGTGGATAGAGGTCTGTACTTAGCTGTTCCATAAAACTAGGTTGCTCAATCTGCCTATCAAATCACTGTTGTTGTTTTTTAAGATTTATTTATTTATGCATACAGAACTGGGGTACAGGCTAGAGGTGCAGGGGCGGTGAGAGGATTCACCAGAGACAGAGTGGGGAGCAGAACAGGCTGACTGACAAGTACACTGCTGAGGGGAGCAGCAGGCAGGCCACGAGAGGTCTGCCGCACCATGTGGTCACCTTCGGGGCAGGCAGGGATCGAACTCATGCTGAAGTGGCTAAAGCTTCTTAGTGCTGCGCTTTAACCCCCTGCACCACCAGGGACAGCCCTCAAGTTGCCATTTTTAAGGTTGTGGCCAGGTGTCTTATTTTACTAGCGCTTTCTGTAGCAAAATACAGTTTCCCATGAGTCAGGGAAAAGAACTTCAAAAGCACCAAGAAGACATTTCCTGGTGATAGTAAAAATTGAATCCTTCCAATACTGACCCTATTTTCATTTAATAAACACTTAGTGCTTATTATGTCAGGAACACTGCTAAGCACGGTATATTTATTCACTTAATCCTCACAACAAACTGACAATATAATAACCTCATCTTACCAATGAAGAACATGAGGCACTTGGCTGTGTGGGCACCAAAATCATACACACAGCTAGAAGATGTCATGATTTGAACCCAGGAAATCTGACCCCAGAATTTACCCTGGTAATCAGGGTGGCTTCCTCCCAGTGGCTTCCATCACATTCAGAAAAAAAACCCAGACCCAAAGCCCTACTCAGTCTTGCCTCTGCCGTTCGTTCCTTCACTGTTCATACTCTTCTCCCTAATGCCTTGAACACTACTAGCCTTTTTGCCCTTCTTGGAAGACAACCCCACCCCTACTCACAGAGCTTTGTGCCTCTCCTCACTGTGCATTCTTTGCATGGCTTTTGCATAGGTGCCCCCAACACCTCAACTGCTCAAATCATCTCCTGAGAGAAACTTCCTCTGAACACTATTTGAAATAACACCTCCTGGGACTTACTCAGCTTAAGTACATTCTTACACTCCTTAGTTTCTGGGATATATCACTACCTAATTTATTAACTATCTGTTCCTTTATGGCTTTCTTGTCTGTCTCCTGCACTAAGTTCCATCACAATGGAGTTTATTTTTCTAGTAGATTCTGATGTTAGAGGGCCCTAAAGAGGTACTTTGGCCTAGTAGATGCTCAGTAAATTGCTGAATAATCAGCCGATTGATTTGTCGATTGGTTGAATAAATTGCTTGGACAAGTCCAGGAAAGCTTCCCTGAAAGTGGACAGTTAAGTATGGCAGGATAAGTAAGTGTTTGCCAGGCAGGCAAGAGAGAGGAAAAGCATTTCAGACAGAGGGAACAGCATGTGTGAGATTTCAAGGCAAGAAAACAGCGGCTTAGAACAGTTGTTTGTCTCTCTTTTGTATTAGGCGTGTTGGGGACTCTGACTACAGCGATGGCGAAGAGGACTTCTACTACACTGAGATCAAGCTCAACACAGACTCAGTAGCAGACGGACTGAGCAGCCTGGCCCCAGTTTCCCCCTCCCAGTCCCTGGCTTCGCCTCCTACTTTCCCCATCCCAGATTCAAGCCGAGCAGAAACAATTTGTGCCAAAACTGAGACTAAATTGATGACGCCCTTGAGCCGGTCAGCTCCCACCACCCTCTACCTCGTGCACACCGACCATGCTTACCAGGTGACTTGCAAGGGACCAGGAGAACCCCTAGACCCCTAGCCCAAAGTGATAAATAACATTCTCACCTGTGAGAAAATGAGGAGAAAACTCAGTGGGAAGATTGCATCAGAAACAGCAGTCCTGTTGTTGAGTTCTTTTCCTTTCTTTCTTTTCTTTTAAAGCCAAGTTCTGACACAGGTGGAACCCAATGAGTTGTTGGACTCCCCATTACTCACTAAATACCCACTTCCTGGGAAGTAGTTATAGAAGATAAACTCCCTACTATTTAAGACCCTCAGGAGGGTACCTGCCACATGCTGTAAGTGTCCATAAAATAAAAATTTAAATAATGAGAAGTTAGGCATGATGTAATCACCCTGCACCTTGAGTCTGGGGTTCAAGCCCCACCTTCTGAGTTAGTAAGTAGTCCTTCAGGTTAAGAGCAGTGTTCTCTCTATCAACAGTGTCAGCATCACTGGAAATTCGTTAGAAATGTAAATTCTCAGGACCCATCCGCACGGTGGTCGTCAGAGGCTGGGGATGTGCCCAGCAGTGTGCTGTTACAGCTCCTCTAGGCAATTCTGATTTGCCAAAGTCAGACCTTAGTGAAAATTCCTGCAAATACAGAACTAAAACTCCTTGTTCCCCAGCAATTATGAATTCTTTTAATGTTGATTTGTGTTAATAAAAATTCAGTATTTCCAAACTTGGGAAAATATTTCACCGATAATTTGCAACTAACTTAAACAACTTTAAAAAAAATCTTTTTTCCATATTTGTGTTTTCCCACCCTTGTTTTATATACACTTTATATAAAAGTGTTTTATACTTTTTCACGTAACTGTGTAATACTCAGTGAAATCAAAAAACCACATCATTTTAATCATTTTCTTTTTGTTAGGTGTCTGTTTTTTAAGTTGATCCAGTTTTAGCACTATCAGTATTAACTGCACTATGAACAACAACAACAAAAGTCCTGTAGCTTTTTTCCCTTTAAATTCCTAGAAGAGTAATTACTGAGTCAGAGGCTGTAACATAAACAACATATGACTCTTGCTGTGTATTGCCAAAATATTTTTCCAGTGGTGCCGGTTACAAAACCACTGCAACTAGCAACTACATTGTAGTTTTAAAAACTAAACCGTAGAGGAAGAATTCAGCCATTTGTTCAGTAGACTTAAACTTAAGAACAATAGAATTGGTGCAATATATTTCATTCCTGACTTTTGTTATGGTGGTCAAAAAGAATCATTCACATTTCTGTGTTGCATTTAGGTCTGAAATGATGAACTTGAACCAACCAACTTAATTTAATTACTTTGCTCACCTACATAATGAGAATCGGAATACATACTAGGTGATCTAGAAGGTCCCTGCCAGACTAATAATCGTAATATTGGGGGTTTTCTGTTTAGAGATATAATAAATACTCAGCATAGAAAACACTAAAAACTTAAAGAAAATTCATCCTGAGTACCAAGAACAAGAGAACCTCTTGAGTAATGTTTTTATGTCCTTCAGAACTTTGCTCTGTGTATATATGTGTACTCATTAAAAAAGGAAATTATTTGTATGTATTGTAATGCTGTGTTTTTACTATGTTTTGTTTTTTGCACTTAATGGTGCTGAGCATTTTCCCATGCCAGTGAACATTCCTTAACAACATCATTTGCAGTGTTCTGTAGGTACCTGATTTATTTACCTGGTTTTCTCGTACGTTTCTGCAGTGAACATCCTTGTATTCATTTCCTTAGAATAAATTCTTACAACAGGGATAGCTGATATGCAGAATATAAAGAATTTTGATACATACTGCCAAGTTACCCTCCCCAAATGTCATGCTGGTCACACACCTGCCATCGCATTATAGAAGTGTTGCCTTCCCAATATGGTCAGGATCATTGGGATCTTACAGGTATTAAAATAGGGATGTTATAATCAAATTTCTTTACAAAAATTTACAGTCAAAACCTCCTTAGAAGGATTACTTAGATATATGCGAAGTTTATTTCTAATTATTTTCACTATGTTTAATGTCCTCCCACTTGATGGCTATTTTAGTGAGTGACACAACTTAAGACTGTAAGGAAATGTGCTCTTTCAAGCAACTTTCTCTGTTTTCCATTTAACAGGCCACACCCCCAGTGACCATCCCTGGGTCTGCCAAGTTCACCCCCAATGGCAGCAGCTTCAGCATTTCTTGGCAGTCTCCTCCAGTTACCTTCACAGGCATTCCAGTAAGTAGAAAAACAAAAAATCTGAAATCTGGTCAAAACAAAATGTAAGTTCAGAGTAAGTCAGGAAAGCATGCAAGAAAAAGATGAAAATTAGAATGCCAGGAACTGCTGCTTAAGTGATACTTGTATACTCTCAGCCAGGTAGTTTATGGCTTAAACAGGCCAACTTCTTTGCAAAAAGGTGTTCTGAGTGGTGTTTTAGAACAAGAGAGTGTTCCAGCAGTAAATGAACAACCTGTTAGAAATATGTCAAGACTTTTTTGTGTTGGTGATGTATTTGTATGTTTCCAAAAGACTTAAGTAGCTAAGGCCCTCCATGGTGGCACAAGGGGTTAAGACACAGCACTGCAAGCTCGCCGCAGCCGTTTCAGTGTGAGTTCAATCTGGCCTGTACTCCAGTTCTATATGCACAAATAAATAAATCTTTTTTAAAAGTTACTTTAAAAAAAGACTTTAGTAGTTAAACTCAGTCCCAAAACAGGAAAGAAAACCTCTCTCTATAAAACCCCAAAGAAAAATTATTCTTTGTTGGATATGTCACTTTGTGGATTCAAAAAAAAAAAAATTGAAATCACCTTTTTTTCTTCCAAAGTCTGAGTAATCCACTGAAAGGTAGTTTGAAAATAAGTGTGTAGAAATATGAAATCAAGTTTAAATAGTATATTAGAATTGACTCGACATATTCAATGATTGCTGTCTGATAAGTCACCATGAATTAACTTGATTTCTAACTATTTATTTAAAGATGTATTGTGGGTCTTTTATAACATCAGAGAATATTCATAGACCTGCACATATTTGATGCTTACAGTGGTTTAGAACTCCTGATAAAGTTCAGAAAGTAGCTTATGATAATAGATGCCAGCCTTATTTTCTCCTCTCCATGTTTCTCCCCAAGGACTTCACAAAAGCTTCTTATTCTCAACCACTGGCAACTCCCAGAGGTTTGCAGCAAAGACTAAGGCCTCCAGCAGAGCTGATAAAATAAAAGTAGCTCAATCAATTATGCTGCGCTGTCTTGATGAATATTTATCAAATTCCCTAGGTGAACAGTCAATAATAAAAAACATCCTGCTGGCAGCAATTTAGAAATTTGTAGCTTCCAGAAAATACTCCTGGAATTCAACTTTTGAACATACCAGAGACCTGGAGTAATTAAGAAAGTTGTCTGCCTCATTAAACAGTGATAACTGCTGGTTGCTCTGAAAGAACAAGAATATAGTTAGTGACCTTGTTAGCAGACATTAGAAGCGAAAAAACTTAAACAGGCAGGTATTATTCTCTTTTAGACAGGTAGGTATTTCTGGCAGAAGTAATAATCCAAGAAGGTGGGTGTCAGAGGTTAACAATCCTTTGGCTACTTCTTTCATAAAAACAGCCCAAATGGCTCTCAATATTTGTCAATGTTTGAGACAACTCTCCCAGCCTGTGAAAGCAGCATCCTTTCATTATGGAAACCTGTTATTCTGAATCTCATTAATTCCTGTCTTTGGTTTTAAGAATTTTCAGGTGCATATAACATATTCATCTGATTAAAAAAAAAAAAAAGAATAACATGTAGATGGATCATTCTCAGTTCAGACTGTTTTTCAAATGTGACCAAAGAAATATTTTTTTCCTTTTGCCTTAGTAATTAAATCATCTTCAGAAGCTTATTACTAGCTGCTTATCCTCAGAAATCCCTATAGTCTTGCATGGTAGGATACCAGCCAGGGTACCTTTTTATTGTCTATGCTTCAATAAATTCAATAAACAGTGATTTTTTTAAAATATCGTTTCTGGGTAACGGACACTGCTGTTCTCTTAATGCCCTATATTTTTCACAGCGTTCCTAGTTTTACTATCTCTTGGTAACCAGAGACATTCTAGAGGAGACTTTTGACAGAACATACATGGTATGGCTGGGTTAACTGGATACCCTACTGAAATTCTAGGTCAGCTTCGAAATTGTTCTTTCACCAGAGAATTTCCAGTCTCACTGATTGCATAATCTGTTTCAGGCAACAATTTAGACTGTCTGAACTATCAAACTTTCCATTCTACTTAAAAACAAAGAGAAGGAGAGAGGACACTAGTTTGTTTTTTTGTTTGTTTGTTTTTTAAGATTTATTTATTTGGGGGCCCTCCCTGTTGGTGCAGCGGGTTAAAGCACAGCACTAAGAAGCTTAAGCTACTTCCGCATGAGTTCGATTCCCGCCTGCCCCGGAGGTGACCACATGTTGTGACAGACCTCTCCTGACCCACCCGCTGCTCCCCTCAGCAGTGTACTTTGTTGATCTGCCTGTTCTGCTCCCCACTCTGTCCCTGGTGAATCCTCTCACCCTCCGTGTCTCTGGCCTGTTCTCTGGTTCTGTATAAATGAATAAATAAATCTTAAAAAAAAAAAAAGGACTTATTTATTTGTGCACAAAGAACTGGGGTAAAGGCCAGAAGTGCAGGAGCAATGCGAGGATTCACCAGAGACAGAGTGGGGAGCAGAAAAGGCAGATCGATGAAGTACACTGCTGAGGGGAGCAGCGGGCGGGTCAGGAGAGGTCTGCCACGCCATGTGGTCACCTCTGGGCAGGGATCGAACTCATGCTGAAGTGGCTTTAGCTTCTTTGTGATGTGCTTTAACCTGCTGTGCCACCAGGGAGGGCCTGAGAGGACACTAGTTTTAAAGGCTTTTGTTTAACTCTAGAATTCTAGATGATGACACTTACTAGTAAAAAGGTTCTTTATGTTATTATATGTTATCAATGCTTAAAAAATGTGGGTGCACCTCATGTTTATTGCTGCCTTATTTACAATTGAAAAGACATGGAAACAGCCCAAATGCCCAAAAGTGGATGACTGGATTAAAAAGATGTGGTACATATACACAATAGAATATTACTCAGCAACCAAAAAAATAAATAAATAAACACATTCCTTTTGCAGCAACATGGGTGAAGCTGGAAGGGATCATGCTTAGTGAAATAAGCTAGAAAGAAAAGGAAAAATACCAGATGGTTTCACTCATAGCAGGAGTGTAATGCACCAGTCAAGAAAATAATAATAATAATAATAATGAACAACTATATACTAAAGACATTTTATGGGGGTGGAGTGAGGAATGAAATCAGAAACAGTGGGGAGAGGGAAATGCACTGGACTATGGTGATGGCTCATGGGTGATTTGGTGATGGGAAGCCCACGGGGATTACAACTGAGATGGAAAAATGCACAAAATGATGTAAAAATAAACTATTATATTATTTCTTTAATGTGGGTGCAAAAATAATGTGGGTGCTTGCTGTCCCCGTCCTTCTGGGGAACTGACTCTCACAAGCCCACCCTCCCTAGGTTCAGAACTGCCATAAACACCCTGACTGGTTGCCTGCAACTGTGCCTGATCGCTCCAAGACACAGGAAGCCAGGTGAACCCAAGAATATGTGACTTCCTGCCTTCTAATTTAGTGTAATAGAGTTTTCAGACAGAAGCGCTAAATGCTTTAAATTATAATGAATTAGTATTTTTGATGCTATCAGCTGCATCCAAACTGAAGAATAGAGCCGTTTTCATTTATAAAAATGCTTTCTAAAGAACACATTTCTCTTTGTACTCCAATACAAATACCCTGAGGTTGTCAACCCCATTTAAGGTTTCTCTTCTCCCACATCTTTGAGACCTGGAACTAAAGAGGGAATGCTTTTGCTCGCTTCCTAGAGAGTAGAAATAATCTCCCTCTGAGAAATCCCAAGGTTGGCAGGATTTTATTTATTCGTTTGCCTACACTAGATTTCCTGAACATTAGCTTTAACAAGTTCCCTGGGTAAGACCTCATCCCAGAGGTCTGTAGCGAAGAAGGCGGCTCTGCATATTTGCAAATATAAGTGGAAGTTCAGTCTTTTCTACCGAAGGCTGTAGGCACAGGGGCCGGGAGAAATCCCCATTAATTACAACTTTCTTTGACCTGGTTGTCCCAAATGATCCATCTTTTCTTCTAATTATCTCCATTCTCTCTTTTCATGATAGAAAGCTGAGAGCCCTTGGCCCAACTCAGATTGCCAATACATGATGTCACAGACTGGGTGATTTAAACAACCAAAATTTATTTCTCCCAGTTCTCAGGCTAGAAGTCCCAGATTGAATTGCTGGTAGATGCAATTACTGATGAGGGCTCCCTTTTCCTGGCTTGTAGCAGAAGAGCCACCTTCTCACTGAGTTCTCACCTGGCCTTTTCTACTTTGAGGCTCAAAGGGTGGAGGTATTGAAAAGAGAGAGGTGTCCCTTCTTATAAGCACAACAATCCTTCTAGTCCTGCCTTGGATAAAGTCCCCACCCTCATAACCTCATTTAACTTTACTAACTTCCTGAAAGCCCCTCCTCTCAGGTATAGATCTTGCCTTGGGCGTTTATGAGCTGTGACCCCCCCCCCAGCTCGCCACATGACCCCCAGCTGGTCACGTACCACTCTCAAGCAGTGTCCTCAACTCTGCTAAGACCCGTATTGTGTTGTTCAGCAGTGTGCTTGCCACATGTGCTAATATCAAGGAGCATTCACCAATATTGCTACCTTTGAGTGTCTCATAAGTGAAAAACAAAGCTTAGAGACAAGAGATTCTTCACATTTGGGATTGATTCCTATCACACTAACATACTCAACATCTGGGAGAAGTTGGCCATGATTTTTGCAGACTAAAATTCTTTAAACTCCTCACACCTTATCAGAAGGCAAATTATAAGCAGATAGCATAAGCCCAACACATTTTTTATTTAGATATATTATCTTATCATCTCATGCTCTCCGAGTATATCATTTGCTTTATAAAATATGCCCCCAAATAGAATTTAAATTGTGAAGATATAAAACAAAACATGTTGAAATGTGGAGACCACTGGGAGAGATAACCAAAACAATGCTTCTAAGGCTCATTGCTCACATCAGTGACATGGCAGAAGGGGTGAGTGGAAAGAGCAAGGCCTTGACATCATTCAGAAATGAGTTGCAAGAGCAGCAGGTATCAGATGGCCTGTGTCCAAATCCTAGGTCTATAATTTCCAAACTGTGTGGCCCCAGCAACTTAACTTCTCCATTTCCCTTTTATACAATGAAAACTATACCAGTTCTTCTAACCTCAAGCTTCCATGAAGATTAAGCCAGGTAACCTGTAGAAGGGAGTCAGCTTGTATAGCCAGCTCTCAGACACAGCTACTGTCAGCTCCGGGATGCTCTGTGGACCGCTTCCCTGCATGAAGCCTAAATTATCTATAGGACACAGATAACATTCTCATTTTGCAAGGTTTTCATGAAGATGAAGAGATCACAAGTAACCCCAGGTAAAATAAGCAGCTAACCCATGATGGTCTTGCTATTAAAAAATCTCCAGAATGGGCCCTCCCTGGTGGCGCAGCAGGTTAATTCACAGCACTGGGAAGCTAAAGCCACTTCAGCATGAGTTCCATCCCCGCCTGCCCCGGAGGTGACCCACGTGGTGCGGCAGACCTCTCCTGACCCGCCCACTGCTACCCTCAGCAGTGTACTTAGTCGATTTGCCTGTTTTGCTCCCCACTCTGTCTCTGGTGTAGCCTCTCACTGCCTCTGCATGTCTGGCCTGTACCCCAGTTCTGTATGAATAAATAAATAAATCTTTAAAAAAAAAATCTCCAGAAAAACGCACAAATGAGGCCGTATTGGTCCTCCCTCAGAACTAGACCTCAGGGGTCCTGTCTTATGCTGTGTGGATCTGGTAGAAACCCTGGTCTGTTATGGGATGGGGAGGGACCTGCTATTGAATGGAACTTTACACAAAATAAAGAATGTAAAGTAGGCTTATTCTGCATGAGGTTCATACTCCTTAAACTATATTCTTACAGTGTTCTGAAACTTCACCCCTCCCCAAAACCACTTGAGCAGTGTCCCCATCTTAGCCTGTTGTGACCACTGTGCAGCCCTCCAGCCACTCAGGCTAGAACCTAGGCATTATCCTTGACTCCTCTTGATTCAGCCCTGATTCAGCCCTTGTCATCACCTTTTATTCTTTTTTTTTTTTTTCGGTCCATGTACCCTCTATCAGCAAGTCCCAGTCACTGCCTCTGATGAGTCCATCCCCTTCTCCCTCAACTGCCACACCCTTTACTTATCACCCTTTACTTGTGAGCCTAGATCATCTGTGTTGGCCATGAACATCTGAGGTCTTTGTCTCCACTTCTTCTGGTTTGCTGTTGTACATCCTGAATGGGAATGGGAGGCCAGAGGGTGGTTTCTGTTTCTGGAAGAGACTACTGAACCCCAAAGTGTTTCTTTTTTCAAGACCCTAGGTGTCACCCCTTTCAGCTAGTTGACTCTATTCAACTTCCACAAAAAAAAAAACAGTAAAGATTAACAGAATAATTCAGGCTCACAATGGTTTAAAATACTAGCTTTTGTGTGAAGTTGTGCTCCTGAGATTATATGGTATTGTGAACTAATACAAGTCAATACAACTTCAGAAAAATAAAATTTTAATAAACTTAGATGTTAAGTTTTTACTGATCTGCTTAATTTCATGTCTGGAAAATAACACTGATGTACATTCTTTGATATCAAAAGAAAATGGAAGTTCTAGTACATATATTAGAAAAAACCAACTCTCTGGCTGGTATATCCTAGGGATGTTTCCATTACTGTTACCTGAGAATGGCATTTCCATGCTGACTTCTAGATAAGTTTTTAGTTTACTAAGTGTCTGCTCTTCCGTAGTTGGCATATATGCCTGAAACATCATTTACCTTTTGTTATGAAAATTACTTTTTTACATAGACTTTGAGAATCCCCAAAGCTGGGGAAATATTTAGTGTTATGAGAACAGATGAAACAAAAAGATTAAGTGGGAAGTGGAGGTGAGGAGGGCACAGGGGGACAGGTCAACTCACACTCTAGCATCCAGTAGCACAATGGTGCACCCAGGCCCTGCCACTACCATTTCAGGGTCTTGGGCAAGTTAATGAACCTCCCAGTGCCTTGGTTTCCTCACTGTGAAGTGGGGACACCAGCACTGATCACACGGGGTCATGGTGACAATTAAAGCTGTAGCCAACAAACCCAGTACACAGTGAATGCTCAGCAGTGACACTGGTCGATGACATCTTTCTCAGTTTGCTTCTGCTCTTTGCTTCTTTATTCCTGTTTGGACACCAGAGTCTGCTTGTGGGTATCTTTAGCAAGAAGCCATTCACTTAATGACTGTGAGTGTAATGTAGATCAGTGTTAGTTCCCAGACATGAACTTTAAAGAAATTAAGCAGATCAGTAAAAACTTAACGTCTAAGTTTAAAATTTTATTTTTCTGAAGTTGTACTGATTTGTATTAGTTCACATACCCTCTAGTCCTCCCATTCCCATCCAGCATGTATAACAGCAAACTGAAGGTCGGGTCCCTTTGTCATTGACACTGCCTGTGTCTAACTTTAGGAAACTCTTAAACGCTTCAGGTTATTTTTCTTCTTTAAAAAGGTGGTCATGGACCTCCCTGGTGGCGCAGTGGGTTGGAGCATAGCACTGCGAAGTTGGCCAGCTGGCTGTAGCCACTTCAGCATGAGTTCGATCCCCGCCTGCCCCAGAGGTGATCCACATGATGTAACAGACGTCTCCTGACCCACCCGCTGCTCCCCTCAGCAGTGTACTTTGTCGATCTGCCTGTTCTGCTCCCCACTCTGTCTCTTGTGAATTCTCTTACCCACCACACCTCTGGCCTGTACCCCAGTTCTGTATGCATAAATAACTAAAATCTTTAAAAAAATAAAAAGGTGGTCATGAGCCTTGAGATAGGAATGTATGAAAAGTTCAACATTTTATTCAAGTGAAACTGTGTTACTGTGGCAACTTGGAAGCTCAGCAATAAGGTCATGAAGATTTTCAAGTTTTAATTCTTCCAGGTCTTTTCGTTCAAAGATGCTTTCTACTGAGCACATTTTATTTGACATGTGTTTCTCTGTAAAGGATGTATGTCATCTCCATGCCTCATGATTAACCGTGTGGACAAAAGTGAAATACATGAAAAGTGAAATACGTGACAAGCCCCATCAACTTTGTTTCCATGTCCTTCCCAGGTGTCACCAACACATAATCACTCGGTGGGCCCCGGCGAGCAGAGACAGCACACCCACACAGTCCTGTCCTCGCCACCCAGAGGGACGGTCAGCCTGAGGTAGGACTGCTGGGAACTCCATGTGCCTCATCTCAAGAAAATTAACTGAAACAGAAGAACAGCAAGGAAAAGAGAAACCACAGATCTGACCTCCCATTGTTTCCCCAGAATGGATACAGCCCCCTTTTTTGTCCCCATGGTCTTCCCCATCCATTAACTATAAATGGACTTTGATTAGTTTGGGGGCTAACAGCTTGTGGTACGTTTTCTTACAGAATAGGTAGTGATCACTGGTTTGTTTAAAACCATATGCATTCACCAGTCTATTAAATGAACTAAAGATGCAATTTTTAACATGGATCAAGGAGCATCTCTCCCCAATCCCTTAACCAAAATGCTAGAAATCAGAGAAACATGAGAGCACCTAAAAGTACCTATTTAAAAACTTGAAAGAGTAATGGTCTCTATTGGAAAGTCTTGTGTTGACTGGTTAAACTCACGGTTTGAAGATGTCCACAAATAGACACACAGAAGCTTGTGTGTTACAGTACCGAATCGTGACCGCTAAGTGTAGTGGCCCAGAAAACACACTATTTAAGGGGCACTACCCAGTGACATAACGGGCTGACGCACCACATTACGAAGCTCTCCGAAGCTACTGCTGCACAAATTTGATCCCTGACCAGGGAGGTGACCCACATAGCGTGGCAGACCTCTCCTCACCGCCCACGGCTTCCCTCAGCAGTGTACCTTGTCAGTCTGCCTGTTCTGGTCCCACTCTGTCCGTGGTGAATCCTCTCACCCACCACAACTCTGGCCTGTACCCCAGTTCTGTATGCACAAATAAATAAATCTTTAAAACCACACACACACACACACACACACACACACACACACACACACACTGTGTCTGAACCCATAGAGAACATCTACTCTTTCTACCAGCATGTTTCTGGCTCTTTCAAGAGATTTTTGAACCCTCCATAGAATGTCCATGGAATTCCTTCTGCTGAATACTTTTCTTATCTATCACGCAGGAAGCCCAGGGGAGAGGGCAAGAAGTGCCGGAAGGTCTATGGCATGGAGAATCGAGACATGTGGTGCACCGCCTGCCGCTGGAAGAAGGCCTGCCAGAGGTTTATCGACTGAGAGGCCCCCGCGGGCAGAGGGCCACGCCCCGTCACTCCTGTCTGCACCTTCCACTGCAGGGTTTGGAACGAGCTTTCCCTTCTGAGCAAGGTAACACTTGAAACCCCAGGAAAAGCACTCCCAGGAACCTTGGTGGAATTACAGCAAAAATAAAGGCTGCTGCCCTCACTTCTCTCACTGCGAATCCAACCTAGAGCAGCTATAACTCATTTTTTTTCCTTGAAAATTAAGTCAACGTTTTTTGCTGTATGTCTAGATCTGAAAACTGGATTTCTGTAGCAACTGAACCAATAAAGCCCATTTTACGTAGAAAGGAGACATATTTTGATAAACTTTCTGAAAACTGCCATTTCTGAGATTCTTTTTGACATTTCAAAGAAGCTACACGTATTCAGTAGCATTTGTACAGAGAACAGAACCCGCTTTCGTTGTGAATAGTCTCTTCCCTGTTTTCCACTGACTTCTTGGAGCAGTACACATCATGAGGTGTAGCCAGAAAAGGCAGCACCGGGGTATCTTTTCGAAGCCTTTTTTGTTCATTTTGTTTTGTTTTGGAGAATGGCCCCAATCGAACCACAGTAGAGCTGTTAGCTTACAGGGATGGCCTAAACTCAAAAAGAGACTGACAATGGAAATCACCAGCAGACTTCAGCCCCCAGCTGAGTTCAGGACTTCCAGCTGTGACTGCTGGGAAACGTCAAGGAGTCCTCCTTGGATTTTTATAAGAAGCTCCTTCCCAAGAGGCAGCACAGCCGATTCCCTACCTGCTCATTCTCTATCTTCCCTACTGCTGAATGTCCAGCTCAAAGGCCACGATCCAATCAGGAGCTGGCACGTGTAGCCAGCTGGGTAACCTTGAGGCTCCTTTCAGAGATGATGGGAGGCAAACTGCAGCTTGAATCTGTTTGCTGGTGCTTGTCTGACAAGGTTGCGGTCAGGTTCATGGGCCATCAGGCCTTCCCACGAAACTCTGCCACTGACTGGCTCCAGAAGAGGTAGACAACGTCAAAATGTCCTGCAGCTTTGCTTTAGACAGCTGAGCACAGCCTACGCACCCCCCTCTGTTGAGAAAGTTGTGTGAGGTCAAGCCAACATCCATTCTGAGTGCACTTTTCTAGGTTGTATGCTTTAGCATGTCTGGGAGATGGGTTAATGAAAAATAAGAACATTAAATGGGTAAATGAAGGCCCAGATCTTTATTTTTCTTATCAAAATATTGGAGGTATTTGTTAATTCGCTCAGAAGGGAACATACAGAACACCAAAAGGAAAATGCATGTTGGTATAGGAATCTCTCAATTTAGTAGGACCAGGGCTTGCACGTGTCCCATCTAGCCTGGTAAAGTTTGTTTTTTATTTGTGCATTTTGGTGGCAGCTGTGTGGGGGGAGGGGAGTAGTTGTCAAGCCCTATAAATAAGCTCATTGTCTATCTACCCTATTCCTGAATGCCCTGCTAAAGAGTTCTTTCTCCTATACCTATGCAAAGAAGTAAGAGCACCTTATAGGATGCACTGTGTTGGGATGGGGGCCGAGGATCAGCCATAGGAATGTTAAATGAAATTGCACAGAGGAGAGTTTAATATATGTTTAGAGATTGTACATACACATTTTTTAAAAGAGCAGAAAGAAGTCATCTAGTAATAACAGATATCCTTTTTTTTATAAATGAGGAAAATAGGTTCTATAGTGTAACATTCACAATCTGTGCATTCATAGAGTTTTCAACTTTATTTTTTCAACTGTCTCCTGACTTTGTAAACATTATTCCTTGAAAGAGATTGTTTTGCTCAGTTTATTATTTTCTTTAAAAACACTATTGCAAGAGATGAAAGAGCTTCATTTAATTGCACATCGTGGTTACCAATCAGTACTAGGCACAGTGCCAGTCATTACGTATGTTTTGGTACAAACAAGGCCAGCCAGGAAAGGGCACTTTTCGAAAACTCAGAGATGTATTTGCCTCCTCTACCCTGCATGTCCTTTCTCCCCGCTGTCCTGTTGCTCCACCTACTGCTGTGAGCTGATGCTCTGGCCTGCTCCAGGACACTCTAAGCAAGGGCAGATTGCTCGGTGACCCCGGTGGGCCCCAAGCTGGTCCAGCACTTGAGCAGATTTGCCATGTGCTGAAATGATGGCCAGGCTGCGGTTCTGGAGCAGAAACTTTTCTCTTCAGCAAATAAATCTCCCTGACCTTTGTTTGATCTTGGACTACCAGTAATCAAAAAAAATTGAAGTGATAGGGGCCTTCACCTATGGCCTCTCCAAGGACTCTGGGAACAAAGAAGGAATTGCTCCTTGGAGCAATGCTGGACCACAGCTCTGAAGCTCTATCCCAGAGACCTAGCCCGGGAGGAGCTCTGAGCTTCAGTCCGGCTGAGGCAAGCTCAGTTCCGGCCCCTAGCCAGTGTACAAGTACAAGCCCCAGCATAAATCTATAAGCTTCCCTGGAATTTCTTACCCTTTCTAAAACCTACTTTGTACACACTCTTTTACATCTCTGCCCCACACAGGGGCTCCTTTCCACCCACTTACCCCAGGCGCGCCCTCCTGTCTGACAGTCAGGTGCACAGACCCTCACCACCTTCCTGCACATACAGGCCCCCAGCCCCTCATCAAGGCATGTAATCACTGGAGGACCACCAAGCCTTGCCTGACTGGCCTTGAAGAAAAGGGGTTAAACTTCTTGCAAACTACACAGAAAGCAAGAATCACAATATACAGCCTTTGGCTGTGAAAACTAAAATAAAAAAAAAAATAGAGCTATTTTGTTATATTTTGGAACTAAAGGAAGTGCCAAATTAAGCCTGACATTTAATGTACGCCTTCTGAGTGGTACCACGTTCTTTTACGTCTTCGTTTGGGAGGGTAAGATGAGAATGGGTGGAGAGGGGTTCCCCATGGCATAAGGGCCATACAGCCGGCCCATCCGAGGCCTGTATGGCCATGCAGCTCTCAGAGGCCTGTCTGTGTAAATGCAGTGGCAAAAATACTGATTCTGGTCCCAAAGTATTTCTGTGTAAGGCATGCTGTCGCCTTTGCCTTTTCTCCCTTGATATCTCTTCCTTCAGCAAAGGTATCTCATCTCTCTCCAAAGAAGGCATGTTGTATATCGGACAGGTCGCTCATCAGATAGCTGCAAAGAGTGTTCACCAGGCAGAGTTTTCAGCCTTAGTCCTGCCCAGTGGTTGTGTGCACTCCATTTGTGGTTGTCAGTGTGACACCTTAGAGCAAACACCCAGGTAGCAAGTGGGTCAGGGACAAGCAAGAGATCCCTGAGGACACACAGCTCCTGGTCATCATCGTGGGGCTGGTTGGCCCGTGGTGACTGTCTCTGGCCCAGGGCCGTCGAGCTGCCTGTCATGCACTTCCCTGGTGGGCGAAAACCTCTCCCCACCTCACTTCTGGAAAGTTTCAGCCCTGGGTTGGTAAAAACAAGAGACGAGAAGAGGGCGGGGCAGGGGTGCTCTGAGCAGAAATGTGCTTGCTCAGCTGCAAAGTGCCTGATAGCAGATTTCCAGCACTAACACAGTGCCAGGTGATGACCAGGTGATTCCTTGTCTAGGGGACACAGGTTGCAAATGAAAACTTTCAGTAGAGAATGATATGTTACAGTTGGACTTTCATAAAGATTCTAAAAGAAATGGTAACATGTATTACAGACGATTTCTGAAACTGAATGCCCGCTATCAGATTTCAAGATCTCTTAGGTGATCTGGTGGGCTCTCGTGTCACACTCGGCCACACTTCTGAAAGTAGCCCTGGGTTCTAAATGCACTGGCACTGCTCAATCCATTCCCCCTTCTTCAGTCCTCATTGGAGAATGAGAGTGCAGCATTTGCTTGAGAATATTCAGAGAACAATTCAGAGAAAAGTGGCAAGAAGTGGCCGTATAGGAGAGAATACCTTGAGAATAGTAGCAAAATACTGTAAATAATATTCATTTCCTCAGGGAAAATTAAAGGGTATGTGAAAAATAGAGCTGGAGGATCCCGAGATGAGAATGACTTTTATGATGTTTAGGATCTTTTCTAGTCAGAGCACTTGTTTTTGTCAGTGAACATGATGTCACTTCAAGACAGACTTACGTGAGCTGGACAGTGCCGACTTTTGAGGTATAGAGAAAGGCTCTGTGAAAAAGAGCTATTTTTGTAGCTGACCTGCAGTCTAAGGCTGACATTTGAACCACAGCGCGGTCCCTCGTGGTATTCATAGCGTCATGGAAGGCTTTTTTCTGAATGTAATTGTGAATATGAAGCCTCCGTGTTCCTTTTTATAACCACCCGTTTGGATAACTGGTTACTAACTATAAGCATTTTGTAGGGGAAAGCCGTTAAAAATGTGTATTTTGCTGTAATAGCATATTAAGGAGCAAGCTTCCATGGATTTTTGTCGACAAGATGCTGCTTTTTCTCATGACCCTGTAGAAATTCTATCGACCACATCAACTGTAGCATTGACCTGCATGAAAGCAGGGAAGAATTTGTGCATACAAATGAGTGGAAACAGAGCAGGATTCATGAATATGGATGAGGATGTGGATCAATTTGGAGAATTCGCTGGGTCCACGGGTCAACTGGAAATTTCATTTCTCTACGAAAATAACCCTAACGGCAGCATATACCCACTCCCTGTTCCTCTTTCTGTGGGGATCCTCCATGTCTCGTTGTATCTTTTTGCTTGTAACTAGTCAAACCAGAATTTAGTAAGTAAGATGAGATTAGCACTTTTAGGTACCAATTGTATCACTAGGTAATGCACACTAAGCAAGAAACTATAAAATGTATCTCTGACCGACTGGTTTGCTTATTGTGACTGACTTTGGAAAAGCCCCTAGGAGATAGTGCTTTAAGAGGTGTATATCTATAATAGGACCAGAAATCAAAATGGAAATTTTACGTCTGGTCTGGATTTGTAAATAGTTCCCCTTTTTTGAAGACAATCTCATGTTTTATAACTTTTCTTGTGGGTCTGAGGATCACAATGGTAATGTGCTGTGTCAAAATGTAATCTTAAATGCAATGATAATTATAAGTTAATTTTCCAAATAAGACAATAGACTATGTAGGCTTCTATGATTCTAAGAGATATGACACTTTTGTAGTAATAAACATTAGTACTTACCTTCTCAAGTTAGCCGAACTGGAAATATTTTACAAGATACAGTGTTTTGTAATCATGAAGAACATGAACATTTTGTGGGAAATGACCTTGGTTTTATACATTGTAGTTTATTTTTTAAAATACAGTATTTTACCAGACAGGAAGTGTTAATATTACAAGCAATTCCTGCTCTCCAAACAAAGGGCTATGCCTCTTTTAAGCAAAGTGTTTTGATGCA